TAAAAATATACATAATTTCAATAAGAAAGAAGATATCCATAATATTAACCTTAGAGCTAAGTCCAAACTCATGGTACCACGATTTCGTTTAACCAAGGTAAACAACTCTTTTATGGGGAACTGTATACGTTTTTACAATAAGATTCTGGAGCATATATTAAGTTTATCATTTCCTAAGTTTAAAAACTACATTAAAAATATTTTGATCGAAAAATCTTATTACAAAATTGAAGACTACGTGTTAGATAAAGATGTATGGAAAGACGACATGGCTCCAGAATCCACACAAATTTGATTCAAAGTGTATTCCATAGCATTTAAGTTTATTTGAAAAGAGCAATCCCTAGAGTTTCTTGCTCTTCTCAGGGAGGTCAGCGTAGTGAACGAGCAGTAGCTTAAATGTGACGTTTTCAAGTGTAAATTTATTTTACCTATGGAATAAATAATCTTTGACTTTGACATTGTTAGTGAACAAGCAGAAATAAATAATACACATCGTATTGCAGGCTAAAAGACGTCAAGCTAATGGCGGACCGCATTATTTCGATGCGCACGAAGCTGCGTAAGGGCATTGAGTCGCGCGGCAACAAACGCAACTGGAACCATATTACCGACCAAATTGGCATGTTCTGCTACACCGGACTTAAACCTGATGAGGTATGTAGTATGAGGTACGTCCGTTTAAGAAGAGAGAATTTGCAGATTTCCTTATGTTTTCTTTCCGGGCCAAAATATAGATATTTATTCTGCATTCTGTTTAAAAAAAAACTCTTAAATGGAACCTGTCTTCAAATCATTACTCATTAAGTATATGTATAACCAGTAATAGAGACGAAATGTCATTTAATTTGTTTGAAAACTATTCTGCCAAATCATTATGGTGATACGCTACGATTGGCCCGCTCGAAGTCGAAGCGATTGGCGGGTGTCGTCAATTGTTTCACTTCATATCGACCAGTTTAACTTGAGCCTTGCTTGATTTAATATTTCATTGCCGATGAAATGAGATTCCGTTTGTTTTGTAATTAGATGATTTGCTGTTTTTCCTACACCACCGAATGGAACAGCCCCCGTTGTTAGATGTATTATCTTTATTACAATAAATACATAATATTTTTGGAATATACAGAGACGTACACACAGGTCAGTTCTTGCCGCTGTACTGTTTCAGCTTTCTAAATTGTGATTTCAGCGCAAACGAGAGTTGATATTTAAAAGTGATATAAGGTCCATTTGCCTGATGAATTGCCAGGGATGGATGGCCCTTATTTCGTCTCTATTTCTGGTTATATACTCGATGTCGTTACTATACGAGAAGTGGACTTTTTAATTGAAACTCTCCATTTTCTGACACACTCTATGTGTGGAGCCCGCAAGATAGGCATCTTTAGGATTATATTTCACTAACATACAGGTTATTTTGAAAATTCCAACACCCGTGCAAGACTAGATTACTATCATAAACAACTTTAGTTCTGTGATTTTTGACAAAACATGAATGATGAATATACCAAAAAAAAGTTTTTTTATACTATTACACACTTTTCAGGGTCCTCTCCGAAGATTACCGCGTTTTGCAGAGTTATCACCGCTTAGAGCGATCAATTTAAATATTTTTATTTTTGTATGAAAATGAAATATGACGAATTATTAAGTTATGGAACAAAAGTAGTTGTTTATGATGTTAGTAATACAGACCTGCGAGGTTGTTAGTATTTTACAAATAACCCTGTACAAACGAAAAAATATTTGCTTAAAATATGGTTGAAAAAGGTATATAATGGTGGTAGATATACATAATACAACAGACCTCATATTTATCGATATTATCATGAATATCTATTTTGTCTTCCACATTTTGGTAGCTAAAAAATTCTAAAGTGATTCCTACTAATTATTAAGAGTTATCATATTTATAATACTATTGCCATGTCTGTAACATAACTTTTTTTTAATACCTAAGCTAAGTAGTCATTTGTTGGGATTTATGTGTCACACAAGAAACCAAAGACTGTCGTAACTCAAAATTGGGGAATTGAGAAAACACGATTAGAAAATAATAAAAAAAAGTGAAAGAAATCTTATTGCGAATAATGGGTTATTTTTTACGTAATAATTACTTATCCACTTATAAACGGAAATATAAATTTAATAGTTCCATTACCACCAAATCACCATTATTACGACCAAATAGTGGTTGCTTAATTCCATAATTTTTGAGTTAGGACAGTTATTGAGTGTGTGTGTACATATGTATGTCGTTATAAAATTTTATTATCATCTCTATTCCAGGTCGAAAGGATGACCAAAGAGTTCCATATTTACCTGACAAAGGACGGTCGCATTTCAGTCGCTGGTATTTCTTCAAAGAATGTAGACTACGTCGCTGAAGCTATACACAAGGTCACCTCTTAAACATATCGCTGCCAAATGTGAATATTTGATAGTAATCAAGTGTACTTGGCAAATAGATTCTACATTTACCATAGATTAAGCACCTAGGTAGAACTAAAGTGATTTACAGAAGCCCAAAGAGTTTCGATATCTTTTAAGGATGTCAAAAAATAGTATCCAAGCATTTTAAAAATATATTTACATAATGTTATTCAGAGTTACTATTTATGGTTGTCGAATTTCTCGAATTAGTGTGTAAAGAAAAGAATATGATGCTAATTTCAATACCGTTTCGAGATTCTACACGCGTTTACATTATTATTCTTTTCATTCATTTTGAAATGGTGTTTGTTGTAATAAAACACATGAACTTAAGTTTCATTTTACATCTTATGACTTATGAGAGGTTTTTGTCTCATTAGTAGTCTGTTGTAATCAAAGTGTTGAGACTTCATACTGAACTTAAGCGCATTTATTTAGGCTTACCAAATAGGAGAATTTTCCCCCTAAATTTTGTAAAAAAATTATGTGAATTACAATTTTAGGGGCTGTTTATTTTATTGTTAACAACGCAGTGTTGTCTATTGACAACACGAAATCTTCAAGCCTACGTTGAAGATTTCGTACCTCTCGCCGCATCTCCCAAGATTAGCAGTTAATATCTCAACACGACGGACAAAAAAACCATTTCGCCTAATTGTCATTTCGCATTTATTGTCCGATTATAGGCTAACACGTTGGCCAATGAGAGATTAGTCTTGTCGAGGTTTTCGTATTGCTTTCAAATAGGAGTTAATAACAATCGCAGTATAACGTCAAGAGTATAATTACTTTTTATTATTATTCAGGTAATGATTTTTAGCACGCTGCCGAATGAGATTGAAGATCTTTAGGAAGCGCGATTATTATGAGAAACTACTAATCGATAAAATAGGCGAAATTATTACTATTATGATGTAAGAAAAGCTATAAATTAAAAGTCAAATTCTTTACATACCGATTACCAATATAGTTTTTCGAATTTATATCAATCGGTTGCTTAAACCTGTGTTCTAAATGTAGAACAACAGACTGTACAAGTTTTCACCTAAAAAGTAGCGTAAGATGATGGTGAAAGGGCCTCGAGTTCTTTGTATATTTTTAATAATCAGAATATTGTATTTTAATTTTGTATTGCATTGTTTTGTATTGTTTAACATTAAGACAAAAGTGTATGTTTCGGGCTTACGGCCTACCGAAAGCTTTTTATTTATATTATGGTTACACGATGTTGAGATTTTGTTACATAAACATATTGCCATGTGACTTGTTTTTAAATATAAGTGTTAATTTTTAACATTTGAAATGTACGTTTTCATTTTTGAACCTCTCATTAAGGTTTGTAGTGAAAGGATCAGGGTCGGTTACTTAAATCCACACAAGCAATTTTCTACTGTATGCTACATTGAACACATAATTGTTAGAAGAAAATTACTCGCGGATAATAATGTTCTGCCTGCGCCAGTCAGGCGTAAACAAAGTCCTTTGATTAAACTTTTATTGTTAAAATAAGTAGATAAAATAAACTTGATGCCAAAAACACAGACATTATTTTAACATGTTGCAGTGATCCTAAGACAGAGCTAATTCCTACGCAGGATATTTACAGCTGACAAACAAACAAGTGTCTTATGCTACGTTTACAAACCGATGCAGGTCAATCGTTAACATTGCCTAAATTTAAAATTAAAATTTCTTTTTAAGAGTTAAATTCCTTTCAGGACATCGCTTAAATATAAATGGAACACATCATACCGCAACTTGATTACGTCGTGGTTACAATGTTAACCTATTCACCTGCATCTACATCCAAAATCGATGTAAATCAATAACATTTCACTAAACTAAATCAGTTTATGGTTGGATGTGTATACATCCAAAATGCTTTGATACAATTTTATTATTATGATACAAAATATACTAATACATTCTAGTTGACAGTTGTCATTGATATTTTAATAAAACTAATAATTAATATGTACAATTTGTCGCTACGACACGCTACCATGGCACTATTTCTTTAGAATGCACATCCATTCTTTTTAAAGCAAGAAATATGTACCATTATTCATATACCACTCTTAGAATCTGTAGACATTTCAATAGTTGAACGCCAATACAAAAAGCGTCATGTATTATATCACACAACTATTTATTTGAGATTTTTAGAAAACTTATTACAGAACTTTTAGAAAAATATACATAAAACCGTGTTCGATTTTCAAGGATCACAAAAATAATTTTTGGCCAAATTATGTAATTATGTTCGTGTGCATCGCTCGCAACCCTTGATGTAATAAGGCCACATCTGCGAAAAGAAACTTCAGCAGAGGTTTAAAGATTCCACGAATGAAATTAGTCATTTTATGGCTAAATAGGAGAATTATAGTAGTTAGAACATTTCACATACACTTAATTTGTTTCCAAGTAGTTCGTATATTTTTTTACGACTTTCGTGTGATAAAACCTGTTTTGACGTATGATCACCACGTGCCTTTATTATACCAAGTGTAAAAGTTATAATAGGCAATTATTAATTAGGTAATAAATATAGTAGGATCCTGTATTTAGATAAAATTATTCCCCTGTACACTATTAAAATTAATTCAAATAGTCAAAACAAATTTTTCTTAGGTATAGATCCTGAAATTTTTCGTTTACTAATTATACCTTACAAATCTTACACAGTTAAATAACAAATAGTAGTCCATTCACGTTAACAATGCAGTAGGTTACTGTCATGTCGCTGTGTTTAAAGCCATGCGATTGGTCAGTTTGAATTTTGTACTGTATTTCACGTGCGATGTTAAAGCCTTGCGATTCATCTGTTTAAATTTCGTACTCTTTCACGTGATATTAAAGCAATGTAATTGGTCAGTTACAATTTCCTACTACATTTGTAAGGCTAATGAACGTCACTTATTTCTCCATTATTTACAATATTCTCAGCTAACTGGGCAAAACGTCTTAACTGAAACCTAGAACTTTATATTTCACAAATAGATAGATTCTATCTTCATCAACACTGGTTAAAAGCTATCTACGTTGTTAGGTATACGTTTGCGTGCAGTGGTAGACGTTTGAATTTCCTCAAAGTGATACCTACCGTTTACAGAAGCAAAATTAATTATTCCTACTTATATAAACACGTTTGGATGCAAATACACTTAGGTCGATTTCTTGTAAAAAGAAAAGACACAGAATTATAGTCTGTCTTTTGTGAAGATGGAGTGAAATGACAGCTCATGGCGCAAAAGTGTTGCCCGCTTGCCAGCAGTTAATGATTCCAGTCGATAAATATTCTATCGACTGAATGTTGGTTACGCTTATGCAATAAATAGCCGAACGTGTTTCGTTTGAATCAACATCGGTCCTTTATTCGTCCAACTGCTGGGCACAGATTCATCTGAATTGTCAATTTTTGTAAATTCGAAATAATTTTGTCTATTAAATATATAAGGAGGCGACATTCGCATCCCTCATGGAAGAATGGCATAAGTGGCGTTACGTAAAACGTAAGGTTATTATTGTTGATAGCTCCATCAGATACAGAAAAATATAACCCACATTCTCTTTAATTCTTTTGTAACTCTATCTACAATATTAGTCGCTAAAGTTTCAAGAATTGGAGAGGATGTGGGTTATATTTTTCTGTATGTAATGGAGCAATAAACGTTTTTGACGTAACTCCGTCTATTCCATGAGGGGTGCGAATATTTTAAAGTTTTATGTAGATAATCAAATCCGCCTATTTTTATTAAAATGTATAAGAATGAAAATTTATTTCGATACTCAATTAGTAATCGTTACAATTAGAACGTCGTAACATTCACAATTCAGACATTCTGGCAAAATTTTACCTTCTTTCACAATCTATAGACAAAACTGTCGACAATAACTACAGGACTATTTCAAATTTTATGAAAACTTTCAATCTTGGAAATGCCATTTTACTCAGTCTTAAAAAGACAGACTTCTAAGTTACTTTCGTAACAAAGGCGCTTGTTATAAGGGTGTCACGTTAGTACTGGACGCCTGATCCAACGTAAAATTACTGTTTCTTTTAAGAGAGTGAGCAAGATGGCCAAAATTTTAAAACAGTACTATTTTCTAAAGTCCAAGCTGGGAGCAATTATTATTTTAAAGAACTTAACGATTGTCAGACTGCAATAGGTTTTGTTCTAATAATATTATTTGATAAAATATAACAATGTCCTCGCTCACTTGCTACAGTAATTAAAGTTTACATTTATCGTTTAAATTAAAGGTAAAGGTTACGTACTGACATTCTGCATACATTTGAATTAGCGGATGTTTTTCATGAAAACATGTACTTGGTATCAGAACATCGTAATCTACCTAACTTATTATTCAAAAGTTAACCTTAACAGAACTTCGTAAGGTTAAATATTTGAAGTGACATTTTACCGATTTACTGACTCCGAAGCTTGAATTTTGTTAATAGTACTGTAAAAAACACGCGACTTACGAACCTACACTTCTTATATAACTTATTAATCTACATATTATAAAAATAAATAAGACCCTATTACATTCACTAGTACGTGCATTTTAGTTATTTACCTTACTGTGTAAATATGTTTTTATTTTTTTAACGACACAGAGACAAAGTGAGAGATTACACAAGGCCTAGTTACGTTATATAAACTTATTCAACACTACAATAAATCCATTTTAACAAATTGGTTAGCAATATTGGTTCTAAAGAATCGAATCGGGGGCTATACCCAACTGTCATGTGCAACATTAGAACATAATAACAGTAAGACTCAATTTACATTCCCGTGGAAAGGAATGGAAGCGACGCCATATATAATGAATTTTTGTAACCAGGCAAAGAACAGGTCGCATATCTTCGCGTACTTTCGTGCAGTCTCGGAAGCTCCCACAGTTACCGTATCGTATCTAGTTTGTACTTTACTGAATTCATATGAAGTTGCTAGGAGCAGTACAATTTCATTACAATAAAACGGAATGGAAGCGAATTCACTTCCATTTCGTCGCGATCAGTGTAAATTGAGCCTAATATATAAATGAAAAAAGAATCAATACATTATAATATAAACCAAGATTTATGTAAGTTAATAACTAATAATGCATTTACTCAATCATCAACTTATATTATTATTTAAAAATGGATAAGTACTGAGCAACGACAAAAGGCAAGTATGGTATAAATATCACGAGGTAAATTTAATAAGTGGAAATGGATACAAACCGCCAATTCCTTCTTGCCTTTGTACTACTTTTGTGGTGATTCTTAAATTCAACTAACCGTACAGGCTTTTAGTGTTGATACTCTTTAATTGCTTAATATAACAGCGACCGTCCACTCCCCAATTTGGCCATAAGAATTTCCGAAAAAGTTTAAAGAGTTATCATATCTCATTAGAGCTTCAGCCAATCGACTAGATAATTCCATTCATAGTAACTTAACATCGATATGTTACAGATTTTATATAAAATCATAAGACGAGGAATTGAATCCATATTTTCTAGCTCAAAAATTTTACATTGTAAACACGGCGACGTAAATAACTAACTGTATGTGTAGTGTAGGCATAGTGTAGGTAAAGATTTACATAATTGTAAATTGAAATTTTAGTAATCTCAGTTTTGAGCATTATTGTTATTACTACTATGTTATAAGTGTGTGCAAATGTCATGTTATACACAGAACACATTGTGTGTCGATATGTAAATATTAATCGCACTTTTAGTTGTTTTTTTTTTAATTATTTGGCGAATTGGAATTCGATTTTATTGGTACGCGTGTATCAAATCGCTTTGGAAGTTATATAAACATGGCTGTTTTTGCACGCAATACGCATTTATACACAATAAAACGCGAATTAGTTCATTTAATGTGAGCATAAACTAGTGTGACGTTGGATAAATGAGGGCTACAAGAAATTCATAGTAGTAGAGCTCCTTGCGAAAGAGTTCGTCTAGGGAAGTGCTGCCACCTTGCCTATTTCTAATGTTAATGTAAGCATTACTGCGCTGCGTTCCGGTTTTGAAGGGAAAGGGTGCTGGTGATATTACAAGCACATGGAACTTGTCAACTTATGTCTCAGGGTGAGTGACAGGCGCAGTGGCCGTGTCCCTCAGATCCTTGCAATTTCAGCTTTGAGTGGCACTGCAATTGCTACAGACAGGCGTGTCGCTTACCACCAGGCATACGACTTGTTAATCCCGTAAATAAAGTTTCAGGGTGACAGGTGCAGTGGCAGTGACCCTTAAATCTTAGTGATTTAAAGTTCTGAGTGGTACTGTTATGAACAGGCGTGTCGTTTACCACCAGGCGCACTTCGTATCATTAAAAAGTCGTAATTGAATATAATTGTGTGTGCGTAATAAAGCTGCGTCTTTTCCGCTTAATCTGTAGCCTCTCGAATTATCTAAAGAACCTAACAGAAATTGCAATTTTTTCAAATTCGCAATTGTTGCCCTCATTGAAAACAATCTAAAATGCCGTCTTTAAAACTGCAATAATAATTGTTGTTTTAACTTTTTACGGATTTTAGCTGTGCGCTTAATTCAACGGTCTGTTATTAGTTGATGTAAGTTGACGACTTTACTAGAATGCGGCGGGGCGCATAAACACTGAAACCCTGTTGTTGATTTTTAATGCTCTGCTACTAAGTGTTTTTCCGTGTGGAAGTTTAAAAGTCACCGTTAATTTAATATGTTCAATTTTAGCCTCTACCATTTGGGAAATCTACAATATATTGTTCTACTGAACATACAAGTTAATAGGACTTAATAAAAACATATTAAATTGGAAAAGAATAAATACCCAAAGGAGTGAAATTTAAATCGCAGTCCTATTAACATAAATGTCGCAGCATACACAAACAGGCAGATTTATCTGTTAAAACAGTTATATTTCATTAAACACAACAAAATAAAACACAATCAAAACATTACGCTTCGCCTAACACTGACAACGTCACTTCACTCACTATTCACATCATATGTCCCAGCTTAGCCTAAGTGCCATTACATTTTAAAGAAACGTTTCACCATAATTACAGCTAGTTATTGCTCATTATTTGTTTAAAGGCATATTTTCACTTACAGTCTGTGAGTCTGTGGAGTTGGTGGAGTTGGCGGAGTCGTCGCCGAGCAGTCGGCTGAGCTGGTCGGCATCAAGAATAGCGCCGCTCCGCCCCACTCGCGCCTTACTCTCGTCTTCCTCGTCCTCCCCATCTCCCGCCATCAACCCCTCTTCCAGATACGAAAACGAGTCCAAATTTATATCCGATGAAGTTATCGCGGTACTGTAAATGTCTATCCTTTTTTGCCTCGATTTTGCGTCCGCCACTTTCTCTGACAACTTTTCCTTTGCTTTTGTCAGCGCCTCTGATTCGGATTTGTCGATTTTGGAGTCGTTGTCTTTTGTTTTGTCGCATTTGGACTTGAGAGCGAAGGACGAGTCGTTGCTCGAGGACCCGTCGTCTTGCAGATGGCTGAACAGCGTCCGCCTCGCTAGCGACATACCACTCGAGCTGCTGTACACGCTACTCTCGCCTGTAAAACATACTTGATTTGAGCAAGTGAAGTCACTAACGTACACAATACTTTATAGGCATTTCCATACAACTAAAGTAGAGCGTGACAAAATTAGCACCGACTTGCATATTAACATGCGCACTGCGCCAATTCGACATGGTAACCGATCAAGAGCGTAGCTTACCGCTAGGTGTAGCCTGTATGCTTTCCTGCGATGTTTTGCATGTTTTCGCCTTGTGAGTATCTATCATGTAGTCATTGTCGCTATCGCTGGACATGCCCAAGTCTAAGTGCAACGAGTTCAACTTATTATCGTCATCTTTCTCTTTTCCCGAAACTGTGTCTAGCTCCATCTCCCAGTCCGTCACGCTCGATGAGTCCTTGGCCACTTCAGAATCTTTGCTAGCACTCAATTTACCGTCCGGTTTATCTATTACCGGTAAACTCGTCTCTTCCATAGGAACAATGTCGCTTATACTTTCAGCAGTAGAGTCTAAACTACTCGCATTGCAAGTATCTTCAGTGATTTGGCTCTCGAAGAGTACTGGAGTGTCCTGAGTGATTTCATGAGCCAGCTTTTTGCCGTCGTCTTTGCTGCGGCTGTCTAATATTTCGGACATCGTTGTGGGGCGACCTGTTTGCTCGTTATTTAACTCCAGGACTATAACATTCCCCGCACATTTAGCTGCCTCGACTTGATCCGTTTTTGCATGTAATAGTTGATTTACGTTTTTACCCATAATAATTTTCGACATGTCATTTCCATTTTTAGTAAATGCTAAAGCTTTACCTAGGCTAGCTCCTTTTTGTACTACGATAACGTTACCTTTTGTGCTGACAGGACGTACGATTGGGTTAGTAATTTTAGGAGTTGTGACGGGCGTCATGCCTTTTACGGGCACAATGTCTGCCAAATTAGCCGTCTTTATTGGTTCAACGCCGAGAATTTTTTTAGGTGTTATCGTGTTAACAACTGTGGGTTTTGATACCACAGCTACTGTCGACGGTTTGCCCATTGGAGTACCAGGTTGTGAGCCCACTGGCACCAGCTTCATGGACGTAGGGAGGCCCTTGAAATGCATGGGAAGGACTGGAATCTGTCCTTCAGTTACAGTCTTGGTTCGAGCTTTAGCTGGGAGTACAACCATCTTTTGACCTGATTTAGGATTTAATACGACAGCTTTAGCCGAAACTTTCAAATCTGTAGCAGGAATGCCTTTGGGAGTGAGAGTTTCGGTTCTGGGAGATATACTGGGCGTGATGGTCGGTGTTCCAGTTTTAGCTGGTGTGATTGTTGCTGAAGACGTGATAATAATTTTCGAGTTGCTTTTATTTTCCGATGGTTTCGATACGACGATCATTTTATCAGACATAACTGGTGTGTGTGGCCCTCTAACTTTCGGTACAGAGCCGATAACTTTATGAGCGACGAGTTTGCCTGATGCGTTTAGTGCTTTTTGCGTGGCACTGGGGGCAACTACAACTTGTTTGTTGGACAGGAGTTTTATGCCTTCTGTTGGTTTTTGTAATATTTTGAGTTCTGACATTTGTACTTTTTTATCAGTAGCTAGTTCACCCTTGTTCTTTATGATGAGATGACAGGGCTTGCCACTAACAGATTGTTTGGGGGTGGGGGTTTGTGCTTGCAAGGAAGTAGGGTCGTCGGGCGGTGCGTTGTCAGAAACGCCGAGTTCATGGGGAACTGTAGCTGGCTGGGTTAGAAGCTGCATGGCAGATGAATCACTGACCATGCCAGGGGAGGATAATACTTTAGGTTTCATTTCATCAATGTAATCGCCTTTGCTTTTGCCACCTAACACGCTCTGGGCATAACTGGCTTGGAAAGTGTTAGGAGGTCCTGAGTAGTCCACTTGTAGACTTGCATTGTACTTGTTTGGAGAAAGTGGTAATTCCTGTGGTTTCTTCATTTGGGATTTGGAAACAACAATGGGTGGAGGGTTTTTGGTGCGTTTGTGTACTCTGTGTTTATGTGGAGTGGTCTGAGAAGGGTGCAATTGGCTTGGTTTACTTGTTGACACTTTGCTCACTTGGTTGTATGAATGTTTTGATTGGCTTGATGGTTTACCTGGAGGAGAGAATAAATAAGAAAATTAAGCACTTATCAAAATTATTACATTCAATTATACACAATTCAATTGCATACTTACTTGTGGCTGGTTGAGAAAATTTAGAATAGATTTGTGAAAGATTAAGATGTTTCTGATTGGTGTTTACTGGGATATTTCTCATAGTTTTTACTGGTGTGGTAGCCTCATCTGGTAGGGCACCACCTTCTGGTATTTTCCTTTTTCGCCTGACAAGTTCTGTCTCCCAAAGCTAAAAAACAGTTTAAAACTAGAAGTAACTATATGTTTAGTAAAATATTAATAAGTTCAGATCACTTGTAAGTTCATTAATTGATAAGAGATAATATTAATTCCTAAGCGTCCAGTTATAAGAGAAGAAAGTATTAGTATAAGAAATATAAGCCGCCCGGTCGTGGCGCGGGCCCGGAACGCTCATTTAAATTAAAATGTAAAAGCTAAACAAATAGAACATATTTTGCCATGACAGTTAGAATTTGAATTTGCCAGATGTGCACCCATTGACAATAATACACTCAACATTAGCATACATAACATATCCCGGCACTAGGGAGACCCTGTGTCGCGGGTGCCATGGATACACACACATAGACAATCACAAATTACACCCAAACTCACGAGAGAAATAAATGTAGGCCGTACAAATATTTCTCCAGACCCGGTAATCGAACCTGGGGCCTATACATGGCAGTCTGGCATGGTAACCGTTTCGCCACGGCGGCAGTTATAAAAATAATGAAAACTCACTTTAGAAGTATCATTAACAATGATGTTTTAAATTTCTTTAAACTGTTACCTACAATTGGTTAAACATATTTATTAAAGAAAACTAACTTTAGCTGTTTGGTCCTCCATAGCTACTGGAGGATACATGAGTTCATCCATGCTCTCATTCTGTGGAATGGCACTTTCTGCAGTTTCTCCTTCCGCATCTGCCATTTCCTCTTCACTGGATTTTGGGGCAACCATCTTTTCTGCTTCAAGTTTCTTTTGTATTTCTTTATTTTCAGCAGCAGCTGTTTCTGCAGCCTTATCCGCAATCTCTGTGTACATTGTTTGAGCAACTCCTCGTGGTAACAACGGAATATGTCTGCGGCCCTCACATATCCATCCCAGTCCTGTGTTTGGACCTGCTAGCCTGTTTAACAATTCTTTTTTAAGTTTTGTTCTGTACAAAATAAAACTGTTAATAAAAGATTAAATAGAAACAAAAAATTACATAACAAAAAGTAGATATCACTTTTCAATGAAACTATTAATAACAAAATAAACATGAATATAACCTCTTTGCTGCATAAAGAGATAACAATGTAACTTTGACATTTGACATACTACAAACTTTATTTCTATCTATTTACTATAATGCTTTTATTTAATAAAATAATGTATAAACATCCTTCTAAAACTATGCAATGCTATAGTAAATTTGGCAACATGATAAAGATGTCTACATAGCATCTCATATTAATGTTTATATATCTCCCTGTAGTCTACACATAAACAAAAAAGCTGACAAAATAACAAAATCCAGTTACAATCTCATCACAGTAACATACATTTATAGTAGCACAAATATTGATAAAGTATCTGGCTGCACTCATAAACTTGTGTTTGGAACATTCTCAGCCATGTTTAACTATGCAACAAGGTTTAAAAATAAATCAACAAGTCTACACAATAAATAAAGAACCATTCACTTACTGCTCTGCAATGGTGGCTAATAGCTCGTCATTGGAGACGCGACGCGCCTCCGCGCTGTGACGATCGTTGCTTATATGCAAAACGGCGCGCAGTTCTTCAAGCAACTTTTTTCTGTTGTCTTCTAATGCCCCCTGTGCTCTAAACACACTGACCATATTCGAGTAGGCTTCCAGTTCTAAAAACAAACGAATAATCCGTAAAATACTAACCATTTAAAACTTGTAATTAACAATTATACACCGTAAACGCAATAAGCATCGCCGAAGAAAAGCATAGGAGGGAAAATGAATGCCATCTTATAAGCCTAAATATAATACCGAGTCTCCGAAGCGTTCTGCGACATTCGTCGCGCGTCAGGTTCAGGAGCATGGGCCACATTTTACAGCGTTTGTTATAAGCACTTGAAATGAACGCTTTGATTATACGATTTTCACCATATTTTAGAAAATATTTAATTGGCAAATATCCATACTGTTTACTTCAAACGACAATTCGTTCATTTTTTGACACTTCGTGGGGAGAGATGCGACGGATAGCTTGAGTTTTGTCGATGGTATTTTGTGATATCCTAAATGCGGTACAAAATACCCTACATTATTAACTAATTTGCACGGAGCGGAATAAAAGAAAAATTTTGTTTAAAATATTTGTTTCTGATAGACTGTTGATACTCTGACAAAAAATGGACAATGATATTTTTCCGCATATGTCTATATTGCTCATCAATTATAATTAATATCTTTTTGACGAACCTTGACAAATATAGTAAGATCATTCAGGGTAGGTAGAGACCATAGGCTCTGATTTGCTCCAATCCTTAAAAATTCTATATCTATGCAATTGACATTTACTAAAAGGGTATCATGCATGTTGGTCCGTTTGACCATTTGCTAGTTTACATACCCCAAAAATAGACAGACTCTTAAACACTAAAAGCTTAGGTTACTTGTATTACGTACGTCGACTTACGCCCTATACGAATTTTTAATTTCTAGAACTCTAAAATTAATTTAATATCCATATCACATTGAAGATAAAAAATTAATATTATCTGAAAGAACTTTTGTACGAGTATTCGTTAAAGTAATTTTGAAGATTTTTATGTTAGTCCTCAGTATTTCTGTACACGAATCTTATTTCTCCGTACTCTGTAGCAAATTCAAAAAGTTGGCAACTCATTTCTTTCTTCCACCATAGACAAAAATGCAATGAACAAAGTGTTTGCGACGATAGAGATAATTAGTTTAATACTGAAACATTTTATGTATGTTTGAAGCATCAATTCTTAATGTGTCATAATGTAAAGTAAGTTGTAATTGTTTTCTATTTATTTTACTTTTTGTTTTTACTTTAATACTCATGAAGATTTTCAAACAGAGAAAATATAAAAGTAGATTACTGACGCGGCCTAATATTTGAAGCAAACTTTGCAAACATTAATTTCTTGTCAAATTCTTTCATAATTCAGGAGCTTTTAAAAATTGTATATTTACAAATTATTTACTACAATCTGTAAAAGAATTACATAATACTAGTGTTGGGTCATGGAAAAGTTTCCATTATGAAAAAATCATATTTTTCAGAAAAATAATTATTTTTTCGGATATTTTATTAATATTTTTCCTTTGATTTTCCAGATTTTACGTTAAAACCTGTCGTAAGTTGAAGTTACTGAACGAAAACGATGAAGTCAACAACAGGTGGTGGTGGTGGGGTTGTTGAGGGTTTTTCGCTGTTGTGAAAACATTTTATATCTCGTTCTTCTTTACGTAGCTTTCTTTACAAAACTTTCCATTACTATTATTTTCTATTCAAAAGATATTTCTAAACGTAGAACATTATGCCTTTGAAATTAAACTTTTAAACATTTTCGGAAATTTTTCCAAAAAAAATTCCACTATTTGCAATTTTTCGAAAAATTATCCAAATACTTAAGGATCGTATTCCAGAACTCTACTCACTGAAAATCATTCTTAAGTCCTTGACATTAGGGTCGTATTTCCAGTGCTTGAAATCATACACAAGTCTACTCAAATCCTGACTTGAGCATTGAGTAGAGTTCTGGAATGATCTGTGTATGATTTCAAGCACTGGAAATACGACCGTAATGGCAGGGACTTGAGTATGATTTCGAGTGCTTTAAACCATACTCAAGTCCTGACTTGAGCATTGAGTAGAGTTCTAGAATACGACCCTTAATACGTATTTAAAATAAAATTCAGAATAATAAAATTTTTAGACGTATGCATATAATTATGTAAATATACCATTAAATAAAAAACATCTATTGTAGATTGTAGAGAATTGTGTTGGTGTAGCGATAAATTCTGAAAAATGGCTTTCAATTTAAGGATTCGCTCTGGGACCTTTTGGAGGGAAAAGTGTCGTTTTTATTTTGACTTTCAATTATTTTGTGAAATCTAGTTTAAAGTGGAATAGGATAGTGCTATTGTGACTTAATCGAAGATTAAAACGCGAAATTATACGAATCTCGAACTAAAATACCCGTATCGGCCCGTTTTAAGGAATCCCGAGTCAATCTAAGCACGCCGCCTCAAATTGCCTATCTTCTTTGTGGCGGCCATATTTACAGAAACATAATTAAACTTCATGTTTAGGCTGATGGGTTTGCCAAAGCCTTAATAAATTTAAAAATTTCAATTTAAAAACAAAGATCCCACAGACCGTAAACTCGTAAACGGTTCTCATGTCAATTGTCAAGTAAGTCAACGTATTTCGAGTTTGAATTATTTTGTAAACAAGAACATGTATTTGCGCTTTTAACAAAATAAAAATACAAAATATTGTTCTTATGATGGCGGATATGGATGAAATGATTGATTTCATTCGATCATTGAAGCGAGGATTCGATAAAGATATTTTTCTTTGTAAATTGAATGAATTATCTGATGTTGTGGATTCAGTGGGTTTGGACAACGAAGATTTTCACACGTTATTTAAACTGTGGCTGAATTTATCGATACGTAAGTATATTTTCTGTTTCCGATTATATCTGTTCCTATATTCACTAGAATAATTTATCTTCAAATGTCTTTTTTATATGTTAAAAGCGATCACGAAATGGACAAGCTTCGGCGCTTGTCTGGTACCCCAGGAGATGGTTGAAGAGCGTACAGTAGATTACGCATTTCGTTGGCTCCTCGCTAGCTGTGAGAACCGCGGCAATTTCTCCAGAATGGCCTTTTTATTGGATTGGCTCACAGGTAAGCAAATTCAAATTTGTTTGTATTTATTTCTTAAATAAGCAAATTACACTTAAGTAAATCGCAATGCGTGTTCAATTTAATAACGGTTATCAGGATGCCGTAGGGCCTGTCATGGCACTGTAGCGCATCCTTGATGTTTGCTCATACAGGAGTTGATGATTTTTATGCTGTTATGTGAAAAAAGACAGCATTACTACTCTTAAGACTGTCTGCATGTTCTAAAAACATCCTGAAAATGTTTTCTCCCAAGCCCGATACGCCGTTGATGTGTCACTTCATCCAGGTTTTGGTAAGGCGACGTAGCAGTCGGCTCCTCGAGTGACATGTGTACTTTGTGTTTTGATCAATTATGTACCTACTAGTAATAGACTTAAGCTTTAAATTACCTATTATCATTATTTTGTATTACTAAAAGCCCTGATAGCTGCCTACAGTGCCAAACACTGTAGAGAACCTCATCAGAATGCTGACTAGAGTCTTAACAGGGCATTGTGGCTTGAACAAGCACATGTCAAATGTTGGGCAGGGAGTAAACAGAGAATGTAGATTCTGCCTTGAGGCTGATCAAACTTCTGTGCATCTCCTTACCAATACTGCCCTCTAATGGGCGTAAGAAGTTCCATACTGGGTAGGCACAGGCGGTGGCCTGTAGCTAGAGGACATAAAAACTGTCAGAGCTGGGAAAGTCCCTTCAGTTCTTTAATGATGTTGGTCTTCACTTCAAACTGTAATTAGTGATGATCACAATAGGTCAGTTAAAGGTTGCAGCGAGTGAGGGGCCGCATAGGCCCCAAATGGAGCCACCCTAATAATAATATTAACAAGTGGACCTAAGAAGCCTTAACAATAGATTTATTATTAAATTATCACATCAAGTAATAAGAAAATTTTACTAAACTTTTTGCTCACGATTGAATGGAGGATATAATATAGTGTTTGGGGTAAGACGTTCGTCGGGTAATATTAAAAGAAAACTAGTGTGTTCATAAGATTTGTTTTAATATTCATATTGTTAATGAATTGCTAATGGTAGCAGCTTAGGTTTGGTTGTTAGCATAAATTAATAATACATAGCAACTCACTTGTGTATCAATTTTTTAGGATTTTGTGATTGTAGCAATAACTGAAAATAAAACAATTTTATTCAAATTTAGATTACATATTTGCACTATACGATTTTGGTGTCATCACAGCCCTGACCATAGAACATGTAAAGAGCCTGGAATTTTGGTTTGTTTGAGCACCAGATTATACGCAATGTAGATCCAAAAAAATTAGTATCATTTCTGGCTAATTTAAGATTTTTGTGTTTTAAAATTTTAATGATTTGTCTTTGGTAATCTGTACTATAAGCTAAATCGTTTTATGTTTCAAACTAAGCTGGCTTTTTCTTTCTCTCATGCAATTTATTGTTATATTTTGGTATTTTCCAGCTGCCATGACCACAGACAGTGTTGACATGCAAGCTTTAGACTCAGGATATGAAATTTTCTACACACTACTCTCATTTGAAATTTTGGTAAGTGAAATTTTGTACCATGACTTAAAACTGACTTAAAGATTTATTATTACACACTGTTTGGTTAATCCATTTATAAATGAGAATATAAATCGAGTTCTGAGGTTTTCGCGATTGTTACACATAGGAAATGAAACAATTTTTCCGGATTGGTCACGGTTGACACGGTTGACAGTCAGCCATGGGACCTGTAAAGGGCCCGAAATGTCGGTTTGTTTGAAAAAACAAATACGGTATTTAAATCCGGAAAAATAGTTTCATTTCCTATGAGAATGTAAATTTGTTTGTTTCATTCAGTACTTTGAATTTTCAAATCATGTTTTATTAAGTCCAGAATTTTGAGTTAGACAGTATTTGCTTTTATATGTGATGTGTCTGAGTAGGTTTTTGGTTTATGACTATAAATAGAAAATATACAACACATCCAAAAATTTTAAGTTTTAAGTTAAGAATGCCATTAATTGTGTAAAAAATACATACACTGTTACAATTATTATACAAAGATCAAACACTTAGAAAGAATTCTTTCGATCTGGCCGGATTCGATCTGATGTCTTTTAGCAAACTGTGCCGGACGCTATGCCAATTAAGTCACTGAACGAACCAGCGGATCTTACGAATTTTTCTGTGCTTGTTGTCGTATCTTTGTATTTGGTTTTTCAAACGACTTTTTAGCCGTAGCGCCATCTATGAGAAACATTTGAAAGTCACTGTATTTTAATTTTTTATGGAATTGATGTTCCATTGTTTTTTATGACAAATTACTCCACTAAGTAGTTTGTTATACAAAGATCGAACATTTAGAAAAAAATCCTTCTGTAGTAAAGGTATCCTAACTGGGTGACGAAATACTTTCATAGATTTTTCATAGATAGTGCTACGGCTAAAATGTTGTTAAAAACCAAATACAAAGACACGACAACAAGCACATGGAAAAATTCGTGAAGTTCACTGGTTCACATACGTTCCGTAGCTTGGTTGGCATAGCGCCTGGCGTGGTTTGCTAGAAGACGTCGGTTCGAATCGGACGGATCGAAGGTGTACACATCTCCATTTTCAGTTACACAGACAAGCATTCAAACACGTCTAGATAATTATTGGTGATAGACTCTATTTTGTTTTGATAATTGATTTTTACTTTTCTGGTTCCAGACTGCACATGCACTAAAGCTAGTATACACATTAACAAAGCCGTGTGATGTCACCAGAGGTAGAGTGATAGAGTTATTACATTTTGCCAAGAATAGAGAGGGAAAAAAGGTACCTTCTTTATTTATAAAAAATTAAATTTTGCCTATCCTTGATTCTGTTTCTAGGTCCATATTAATAATAATGATTTATTTCCATAACATTCAAGCTCAAAATACACAATTTGAAATTTGTAAGAAAAGTTGACATTGTTTAATTGTGGACTAGCGTAGCTTTTTTAATTCATTTTTATGTTGCAAAATTTACATTGAGGTATTATTTATTCTGACTGCTATGTACTCCATTTGTCTTGAGAAGTAAAAGTTTTAGCAAATAAAGATGTTAATATCTTCATAAAAGAAAATTAGTACACACTATGAAGCAGTACAAACTATAAATTACTTTTCAAATTCTTAGGTTCTTGCAATTGCGACAAGTTTCGGGTTACGGCTGACTGCCAGTCAGTCTGTAAAAAGCCTGAAACTTTAGTTTGTTCGAAAAAATAAATCTGTGCGATTTACATTCAAATTTTTTCTTTATTTCACATAGGATTGTATGAAATGGCCTAGAATACAAATTATTATTTATTTGATTTTAATATAAACTATTTCAGAACATGTTGCGGCAACTTCAAGTATTACTTGGTTTATTCAAGTCGTACAGACCAGAATGTGTCCCAGAAGACATTCCGTCTATCTCTGTGCATACTTCTTTCAGAAAACTCAATGTAAATTTGATGGCTAGATTCAAAAGATGCCAGGTAAGGATAGGCGTAAGATGTGTCATATAGTATTTGCTGATTTAAGTTATTGTTTGAAAAAACTACCTAATTATTAATTTTCAGGCGAAGAGAAACACTTGTAGCAAGGAAAGACGACATTTGCTCTGGATTAACCCAATAAACTCAGTGAGTGTTATTTTGTTTTCGTAGAAATAATTTTATTTTTAGTCATTTTGTTCAGTTAAGACAACGAGATGACACTCAAGTCTCTCTATTAATTTTTTTACAGTTTACGAATGAATTATAATACAATGACTCGGCACACAAACTTAGAACTTGTTGTACTTAACTTTCAATATTTTGTTTTCAGATGAGTGGAAAAAAGAAAGCAGATCCTTTAGTGCCGAACATGGAGTTTTGTAACATAGGCTCACAACAGTATGCTGATAAGCAACCTCAAAAGAATTATCTTGATTTCTCAGAGTAAGTTACGTATATACTGTTTGCTGGTACAGTGTGACTGTATAAGCTAGATTACGCCTTAAATGGCGGTGAGACTTAGTGAGGTGTTTTCGTTCCGCTCTCAACACTCTGTTTTCGGGAAGTTTGCATCCCTTGTGATCTAGTCATCCTATCAGCATAAACAAACAACCTCTATATGAAAATCTGTAGAGGGTCCAAAAACGTATAAAGTGGTTTGAATTTGTAGAATGCTTTAGCCTAACCTTGTTCCTGTCCACTATTTTAATGAATATTTATTTATATTTTGGAAACCGTTAACTTTGGGCTATTTTATTACTTAAGTTTTATTGATCGTATTAATATCATGTATTTAAATAGAGTCGCTACTTGAAAAAATCCACACGTTTAGTATTTTAAAATGGTGAGCTGGACGTAGGCCGAAAAATTGTTCTAAAAACTCCTTGTTTTAGCTATACTGCCCTCGGAACGAAAAAGGCACAACTGCTGTATAAAGTACGCATAGTTGTGCCTTTTTTCGTTACGAGGGCAGCATAATCCGTGGATAGTGTACACAACCTGATTAAATTCTCATCTTAACAAGTTGATTAAGTAGTTTAAATTCTGTTATGAACTACATACAACCCATCTGTTTTTTAGCCAGGAAGGCTGATTGCAGGGTAAAGAAAGGGGGGGAAAAAAGTTTGAATTCTACGTGTGTTCTAGAATTTTTCTTTGTGCCTTCCAGTCCAGTGTCCTTGCTCCGATACAGTCTCCAGCAGCCAATGTCGCGTCCAGCACGGCTCCGGGCATTATTCTGCAATGAAACCGGTCTCACACTGCTCGCTGTCGCCACCGACGAGCAATTCGCTTTCTTGTCACACGATTTGCAACATTTATTGACTACCTGTGAGTGTAGGCTCAAATTTTTTTATTATACTGTATGGGGGCTGTAATATACATGAGTTTGAAAAAAAATGTAGCAGCATTGGAATAACAAAAAAATATATATATTGTATAGTCTGTTTAATCAATTTTCAACCAAAAGTAAACAAAACCTGTTTGGTTAAAAATCTAAAGCAATCACTCAATAAATCGAATAAGTAACACTTTCACGTATACTTCGAAGATTTCTACTTGATATCTCATCACTTTTTTCAACAATATTCATTTGAATAGCATTGTAAAATCTTATTTGAAAAATGATAGTTTTAAGGTGAGGTTATTTTTCATCTATACTTCTGTGACTTGTTTATGGTTGCATAGTGCTATACGAAAAAAAAAACATTCCGTTCATTCAATTAAAGTTTTTGTAATTGATTGGCAAATCGAAAATTTCAATTGCAATCCAACGAGTATCTTAAGTGTAAATATTTGGAGGAGGATTTAAAATTAAGATTTTGGGAAATTTTAAATATATGCTTATAAAGGTTATGTATTTCTACTATTCATGTAAGGAAAACCGCTAGTATGACTCAATTAAACAAATCGATTCATTCAATTAATTAATCGATTTTTAGTTTGCATTACAATTGGACATCACTCATTGATCATCACGTATATTACGGCTTTTTAAAGATGTTTTGTTTTAAAGAAATCACGGTTCACGAATGTCGGGGAATAGACAGGTGTTGCCAGAGTGGACCTGTAAAGGGACAGGTCCCATGGTCACGGTTGAGGTTGGTCACGATTGGTCGTAATTTCTAATTTAAAAAATGTAACAAATTCTGGACTATCGTTGAAACTTATGTTTTGATTTTATATTGAAATTTCATTCAATGTGCTAGTTGAAGCGGTTTAAGGTGTACTTTCCTTTCTTATAACAAAAAATGTATTACGATAAACAGAAAATGGAAAACTTATTAAAATCAAATAAAATAAGATTATGAAGATATCATATTATGATATGAAACACTACCATTGATAATATTACAGGTGTGACGAATGACCTACCAACAAAAATGTTAGCACTCCAAAGTAGTAAGGCGTTTTTCCACGATTTTCAAGTTTTTCCGCGCGATAATTAACACGACCATAACGTAAAAATCGAAAATGGCGGGCTGGGTACCCTTATGTACATATACAACTATGTGCATAAGGGACTAAGCTTAAGTAAGCGAAACTTCTCGTATTGTTGGGACACGTACCACTCTCACTACACTGTATTGACGTATCGTAATTGTTCTGTGTATTGACGTATCGTAATTGTTCTGTGTATTGACGTATCAACATATATCCTTACAACATCAAAGCACGTAACCACAGCACAGGTATAATAGTTGGTTACCTATCAGAAGTTCGAAATGACATTTTCCAGAAATATTGTTTGCGCGAATTTTCATAACTTCGAAAGTAATTTTGAGAGGAAATTGTTTTTTCTTTTAAGCCTAACTTAACCGAACCTAATTGTGTCTTTGTGATAAACATCCAACATATCCTGAAATTCGATTTTCGGGGTAATGAAAATACGAACAAACGTTATTCCGGAAAAAATTAATTCGGGTTTGTGACAAGTTACCATAATAGTTACTACGTACGTAACTTGTAGTTTTGACGAATAAAACGAACTATTTTTATCACAAAATAGAACATGAACATTAAACATTGGACATGTTGATTTGAGTTAACTTACTGTCACCTTGCAACATAACAATAACATTATAGTACCTATGCTATGTCAAAGTCAAAGTCAAAGTCAAAGATTATTTATTCCATAGGTAAAATAAATTTACACTTGAAAACGTCACATTTAAGCTACTGCTGCTGCTATAAAAGTATTGAGCACATTGAGCATGTAACTTTTTTCTGTCACAATTGTCCCACCGGCGTGCAACAATAACAAAATAGTCAAAAGTATTTCTTATTTATCCAGCTCTTACATTGTCGCTATTACTACACATCGGAAATGATTTTTTGCAAATAAATTCTATTAAAAAAAAATTAACCAAGATTTATTATAAATAAATATTTCATTAATTAATTCATTCAACTTGCCTGGCTGTTTACAGGTCCAATGGTCAGCCGTGATCAAAATTTTGGTTGCTTTGAAAACACAAATAAGCGTTATAATAATAGTAGCTTATATATAGTTCCACTGCTAGGCACAGACCTCTTCTCACGACGAGAAGCGTCATGCTACTATACTCTAGCCAAATTCTATGTAGAATAAATGTCAACGAATGTATAATTTCTAGGGTTTTCATGTCAGACTTTTTCACAGTTACCACAATGTCAATACTTTCCCCCGAAATTCAACTAAATTATGAATAATACTAACCTTGGCGTCATGTTTATAATGAATATTGTTCAACAGAAGTTTTAAATTATTTGTAAAACTGTGTCAACCCTAATAACTTTTTGATTTGAATGGAGAGATTGCAAACATTCGACTTCTGGTGGTATTCAAGTTCAGAATCGGAAATAGATGCTGGATGATATTATAATATGAGGTAAATTAATATCAAATAAAATCTAACAATTTTGTTTCTTTTCTTCTACCATTACCAACCATCTAGCAGTAAATATTAATATGATTAAAAAACTTTATTATATTATTCATAAATCATACGTATTAGTAGGTATTTTGTAAAGTTTATAATAATTGACCAGGTAAGTATTACCTCTACATAACCCAATTACCTACTTACCTATTTAAATTGCAATTAAGAGAGGTGACCGTGGACAGAGCCAGACTTAATAATTAGCATTGAAAATATGATCTTATCCTAGGCCATCATTGGTTGCCTAACAACGTTTTCTTATTAAACATTCTACATCGAATTTGGCTAGAGTGTAGTTCCCAGAGGATCATTGAAATCGGTTCACAAATGCGGAGTAATCGCGTAATATACACACAAAAAATACAGTCGAATTAAGAAATATTAGTATAATATAGTTAATTTTAGACCGATACTGCTGCAATTAATATTATACTTTATATAAAAATGTATTTATAATTTTGTCTCAAAGGTTTCCTGGAAGGGTCCCCTCACAGCTACTTGGAAAAGCAGGACTTGCTGTTGCGACTCGCGGCACTGCAGCGCACACTCTTGCAGGGCATCCCTGTTGTCACTATGTTCTTGGCACAGTACCTGCCGCTTTGGAATGAAAAAGATTACTTTGGAGAGGTATGATTCGTATTTGGATTAAAAAATAAATATATTCTTTAGAATTACACTCATCAAAAGTGTCTAAAGATAAAGCACGGTTTTGCTATTTACTGAAAATCAGAATTTTTAAGTATTTTTTTAAATCCCCATGGCCTTTTTTCTTCAATTTCATTTTCAAATTATAAAATTGACCAGAAAAAATCCATTAGGGTTAAAAAAATTATTAAAAACCAGATTTTCAGTAATTGGCAAAAAGATGCTTGATCCCTAGACACTTGATGTGTCTATATTCACAATTATTTGAATTTAATTCTAATGATCGGAAACGAAAAACAGTTTATACTGTGGGCGCTGGTTGAGGAGGTTCCGGGTTCGATTCCCGGATCAATTTCATAAATTAACTTTTCTAAATTGATCATGGTCTGGGTATTGTGGGTAGTCACTAGCGATACGACAAGTTGTATTTGTTTCAACTCTAGTTACTCGAGTTGACTTGACTGCTAACTCGAGTTGCAACTCGAGTTAACTCGACTCGGTGTTTGACAGAGGAACCGCGAGTCGCGAGTAGAACTCGAACCGACGATTCATCGAGTTGGACACGATCGGCCGGCCGACCGCGACTCGAGCGTGACCGAAGGTCACCGAACCGACCGAGCTAGCTTGAGTTCCCAAATTGTAGCTCGAGTTGACTCGTTGTGGGAGTAACGTAAAAAGTAAATAACTCGACTCTCCCATCGCTCGCGACTTGAGCGTGCTCTGAAGGTCACCGACGCGCTGTATGATTGAAGTATTCGATTCAGCGGCGGGCGGGGCGGGTCAGTCGAGTTAGCTCGAGTTCATGAATAATAAACTCGAGTTGAGTCGTTATAGGAGTAACTCGAGTTAAATAACTCGTCTCGCCCATCGCTAGTAGTCACCCGGAGTGAATTCCGTGGCTCTGGACCTGAGATCTTTTTTTTGGTGTGGTTGTTTGGTGTTGTTTATAACTCCCTAGTCTAGTAGTATGTGACGGTGCGACCTCCTTACACCGTCATCTCACCTCTTTATATCGCCTCTCTCCGCTTGTGTCTTATAATTTTTTATTTTACATGTATTTAAATTTGAATTCTTCCATCTTCCTTCACTTTCTCATTTTGTTTTCGTACCACGGTCACTCCCAGCTCGACCGCCACAACAGTCGGAGCTGTCCCAAATTCCATTTACTAAAATCTTATTTTTGATTCTTTACCAAGTTATAATACAAAACATAATACAACAGTCGGAGCTAAAGAATTATCAAAAATTTGCTGCAATAGTTTTTCGACCGAAAATGAAGCCCTGGCTATTACACGAATATAAAGATTTGTACAGACGCTTTCTGGCGCTTTCTGGCGCTTTTCAAGTAGAGCTCCTTGTGAAAGAGTTCGTCCAAGGAAGAATTGCCACCTTATTTTTTTCTGCCGCCTAGTAGTAATGTTTTTAGTATTACTGTGTTCCGGTTTTGAAGGGCAAGGGTGCTGGTGAAATTACAGGCATATGGGACAATTCAACGTACGTCTGTGTGACAGGTGCAGTAGCAATGCCCCTCAGATCTTTGCGATTTGAATCTCTGAGCGTCACTGCAATTGTTATGGACACGCATGTCGCTTACTACCAGGCGCACGACATGTGCGAAAACCTGATGTATTTGGTTAGTTTAAATGTTGAGACAAGATACCAACATTTGCTTGGTTTTATTTACAAACAGATACTACAACTAGTGGACTGGATAAGCGGGGACAGTCCATCTCACGTGACGTACATCGTCGATTCTCTGGTCAAAATATACCATCGTGCGCAACCGATCGAGCAGTGCGCTATTCTCAAGGCACTCGTTAACATGTACTGTAACTTGGTGAGTTTATTCTCTTATTTTACACTTACATTCTTATATTTAGACGTGTTCTGTCGTAAAGGTTTTATTTACAGAACTTGTAAAATGTGGCGCTTACATTAAATGTTGACATGAATATAATATCTAGTCTTGTGAGTAAAATATATTTTCTTAATATATCTATAATATATATCAAGTATTAAAATTTAAATTCAACTTTAACTAAAACTTCAATTCAGCTTGTTTTTTTAAATTTTTTCTGCATATGTTTCTCTATTATTTATTTATTTATTTATTTATTGTCGTTTCAAAAATTTATTTATTTGTAAGATATTATAGCCTCTATACGGCCTCTATCTGTAATACATATTTACTTTGTGTTATATTAGATGTAGTATTACGAAACTTCAGCACGGAAATTAATTTCAATGCTGGTTTAGTCAAAGTCAAAGTAAAATAATCATTTATGCCATAGGTATAATTTTTACACTAGTAAACGTAATTTTTTAAGCTACTTTGTAAACTACTGCTTGTTTACTACGCTGACATCCCTGAGAAGAATAAAAAAAAAAAAAAAAAAAAAAACAAGAAACTCTAGGGATTACTCTTTTCAAATAAACTTAAATGCTATCGAATATACTTTGAATCATAATTGTGCGGAATCTAGACCCTTGTTGTCTTTCCATACTTCTTTATCTAAAACATACTCTTCAATTTTGTAATATGAATTTTCAATTAAAATTATTTTAATGTAAGTTTTAAACTTAGGAAATGATAAATCTTAATTCCGGAATCTTATTGTAAAAACGTATACAGTTCCCCATAAAATAATCGTTTACCTTAGTTAAACGAAATCGTGGTACCATAAGTTTGGACTTAGTTCTAAGGTTAACATTATGGATATCTTCTTTCTTAATGAAATTATGTATATTCTTACGGGCATACAAAATATTTGGATAAATGTACTGTGATGTCATGATACCAGTCTCCTTAAACTTTTCTCTGAGAGAAACCCGAGAACCTAAACGGTACACAGAACGAATCGCTCGTTTTTGCAACACAAATATGGTTTGTATATCTACCGCTTTAACCCACATGAGAAGGTTAGGTTTCTTTTTGTATGTAATTTTTATAACGAAATTACGACGCAATGTGCTCTTTTTTATTTTATTTATTTATTCATATACATGAGGCAATTGTGACCCATATAATTGTGTAATTTATGGACTAACATCCATATAATATAATATTGAAACTAGTTATTTAGTTTCTATATTAATCTTTGTGTGGAGTTCTATAGTGATGAAATGATGATTGAAGTGTTATACAATTAACTACCGACCAACCTATTGTTTTTTTTTCTGTTTGGCCTAATATTAACTGGTAGAGAACGCCATTTGTATTTTATTGTATTGTGTAATAAAGATTAAATAAATAAATGTGGTGTAGATGTTCTCCTGTAACCGACGTCGGCAGCACTTGAAGATCGCACAGGGCCACAGCGAGGCGGAGACGTTGCCGCGGCTGGCCGCTACAATCAGTGACATGTGCAGCGAGGGACTGCAAATTAGCCCAGGTTAATACAGTCAATAATTTTTATTTATTTTCAGGTTACAAAAGACCCATAAAACACATACCTTATAGACTAACATGCATAATGATATGATAAAACTGTTCATTTACAACGTGGGTGTCCGATAGCCGTCCTAGAAAACGCTGGAATATGACACCTTTAGGCCAAAAGTCCTCCTTCATGAATGTCGACAGATGTAGAGTTGGTACTCTCACCACAAATGAATAAAATTTACCTTGTGGCAGGACTGCAACTGCTCGACCTTCAGGGCAGCTTTAGCTTTCACCCGTATGTACGAGTGTACTCCACAATATCCCCAGGCTTTGTAGAGTAATAAAGTCGTGACAGTCGGGACGCAATTATCGTGACTATCGATCTTATCGAGGAATTGTCTGTATATCGGGTCCTTAATATTCAAAGAAGGAAATACCACTATATCAAATAATAAATTTTCGAAAAAACATTTTTTTCTATAAACTTTTATAAAAACACATGATACTGGTTTGTTTAATACGCTTCCATTTCTGTTCCATCTTATCATTGTAATATTTGACGTGTAGTAAAGAATTTACATTCATTAATTATATATGTAACCAGCCCTTTTCACCTTTTAAGAATTAGCGCGCCGAGTAACCAACATTAGCGTCATTCTGGGACCCTTTTTGACTTTGCATTTAAAATAATGTTGCTTATTCATTCATTCATTGTTATTGAAAGTTGTTTCGCAACAGTGACAAGCTGCTAGCTCTTAAAATGCTTTTATGTTGTGTTATTTGACTCACGTAAACGCTTTTTCGGCAGACGACTTGCGCGTCTTGCACAGCGTTGTGTCGGCAGCGGAGGCGATGTCACTGGGGGAGTGGCGACACTCGTGTCCTCTGGGTGCGGCCCCGCGTCTACTTCCGCTGGCGCTGCCGTTACTGAAGCACTCCGCCGTGCTTCTTGAGAAGATGGCTGGCTTGATGATGCTGTTAGTACACTAGTTATTTCTTTTTGGAATTTTAGAAGTTGTTGCTGATGCAGGTTTTTGCCTATCTGATTTTTTTACCTTCACCAGATGTTAATGCGGATTGCAACTATTTAAAAAAAGTGGAAATGTATCGTGCCGCATACCTTATGCGGATGCGGAATTTCTAATATATTTCTAATATACTGATATTCGCAACAACTCTGAAAGAAACCATTTACTGCAACGCCACAACAAGAAAGCAAAAATAACTAACAAATGAAAAATAAAATAGCAAAAAAGCATACAAAATTACAAATAATCAACACAATTTGAAACATTATCATATGCGGCCGTAGCGTATGCGGAAGGTTTTGATGCTGGTTTTCAGTGGACCTTATTCATCGAGCTGCCAACAATGTTTGACATTTATCTTTCCATATAACACAACATATAAAGATTGCCCTTTGATACTAAAATCAAATGAAATTAACGTATATATTTTTACAGGTATAAAAATGTCTTCAAAAGAACGAAATCGAGTGACAAGCTTTTAAAAGACGTTTATGTGGAACAGCGCCAGACATTGGAAGCATATACAGCGGATATGCTGAATTGTTTATACACTGAAGAGGCACTCACAGAACGCAAATCTGGATACGTATTTAATAGACTGCATCCACAATTGGTTTCTAAGTTGTCGGACTTAGTACCAGGGGCAGACGCAAAATTTAGCCTTAGAAATAACTTGGCTTTCGTTCTGTACACCTTAATGCCTTTCGAAGCGATCGATCAGTCGGACGTTACGAATAAATTGTGCTTCGAAACTGTTGTAAGGGAGATGTTCCCGAATTTGTGCGAGCTTTTAACGAAAGCTGTGCCAGAATTGCGTTGACTTTTAACCTTAAGTTTATATATAGCCTTAGAAAGCTTCATAAGAAATTTAAAAAAATCTTTTCTTTGACGTGCAAGACGAATACAAATTGTAGTACCGGCGCGCTATAATGGCCGTTTTGACGTTTGTCCGCTCATCAAGTTTTTTTGTTATTACATGGACTTAGGACTTAAATGCTTTAATGTGTTTAAGTGTCGATAAAGTGTAGGGAACCGTTTGTTTAATTGAAATGCCGAATTGTTTCAGATGAATAAATATTACCTCAAATTACATTCAGCGTAGACAGAGCTTATGCATCCAAACTGTGATCTCGTTTATACGTTTTGTGTATATGGCAAAACAAATGGCACGGTCGCGGCACAGTCGATGCCCTAAGATACCTGACGCCAAACCGACCATTTGGTTCCGAGTAGATACATAAACGCGAAGAAAAGTGTTAAACATTGTAACCTGTGAACTTCTTTATTGCATCATTAGTGAATGACGTTTTAAGAAACTTTTTAAGTCAATTAGATCTTGAATTACGTTAAGTAAATACAAATTTAAACCATAAGGTCGGTATTATTATACGCTTTTCTGTTGCATTGAATGCGTGAGAAGGTTCTCAGAATCAAAAGGTCGGCTAAGGGATCAGGTATCGATTATAGACATCGACTGTACATTAGTGACCCGGAACAGAACCGTTTTAAAGAAATTGCGCGCGTTGTGTGTGTGTGAAATGAATCTGACTTAGAGTTCCGATTTACGCTTACGGTTCTTATATATCATTTCTCACCAGTGTCGGCTGTTGTACAGAATTCCCATCGGGTCATAAAGTGCGATTCTAAAATTCAACTTATTTTACAAGATATGTGTTTTGTCTTTGTAGAAATGTGTTAATGTAAGAATACTTATGTTATAAATGTAACAATTGAAATTCATTTTAAGTTTTTGCCAAATATGGTAATAGAATTTTTTTTACTGCCTCTGTGGCCGAACGGTTACCATGCCGGACTGCCACGCAGAGGTCCCAGGTTCGATTCCCGGGCCGGGAGAAATATTTGTATGACCTACACTTATTGCTCTCGTGAGTTTGGGTGTAATTTGTGGTTGTCTATGGGTGTGTCCATGGCACCCGCGACACAGGGTTTCCCTAGTGCGGGGCTATGTTGAGTGTGTGCGTTATTATTAGTGTGTATTACAATAACTGTTTTATCGTGTTTGAGGACAAAATTTTACTTCAGACAGATACACTGCGAACGCATTCTTCTTTTATCTCCTTTATCTGGTATTGATTTTAGTTTAGTTTCTAAATTATCTTATTCACATTTTGTAGTAAAAATGTATGATAAATGAATTGATGAAATGTTATGTGCCTAACTCACTTTGAAGTTATTGAAGATAATTAAGATGTTTTTGTAATAAATAATGTTTCTAAGAACTCGTCACAGTCATTACGTTCTTTAATCCATTCCGCTTACTTATTCCCTTCAGTGGGACGTACTTAGTTCATTATATTAATTTAAAAATTTAGAATAAATGAGTATATTTCTCCTGAATTTGAAAATATGAAAACTGGTCGTTATGGTTACTGATAATCTTTGTAGCCTTGGTAGTCTAATGTTTTGCTTGCCGCATCTTAAGCAGAGGCCGTGATGTCGAATCCGGGCTTGCACCTTTGATTTTGTCGGAATTTATATGCGAAATTTAATTTGAAATTGCGGCCTTCAGCGCGAAAGTGGTTTAACCCACATTAAATTTTTTATGTACAATATTACTTTAAATGATACAAAAGAACATAACATTTTATATTTGTATGCTTTTTTCATGTATAAAAAAGATTTAATAATTAATTTCTTTTCATATATGAAAATAGCATCGAAATATAAAATAATTTTGTACTATAATATTATTTGAAGTAACATTGTAGAAAAAATTGAATGTGGTTTACACCACTTACGCGTGCACCTTATTCCAACGTGACCGTGGTCCAGTTTTGGAAATTTGACCAGCCATAAAAAAGTCTCTATTAAGTCGGTTCTATTCGCAACAAACTAGTTTTAGTCAAAATTTATAAGGGTGTTTTACTGTCCACGATGGAATAAACTTATTCCAGCGGCACCATTTCTCAATCTCGAGTACCACAACAGCTAGCTTAGATCTGATTACACTAAAAAAGTCGTGATTTAGTCTGTTCTAGTCGCAAAAAACTAGATTTAGTCGTTACACTGTTTTGAAGTTATTAAGGTGTTTCACTGTCCACGCTGAAATAAGCTTATTCCGGCGGCACCATTTTTGAATCTCGAGAACCACAGCTTCTAGCTTAGATCTGATTGCACCCAGAAAAAGTCGTGAATTTGTCGGTTCTAGTCGCGAAATTTTAGAATTAGTCGCCACTTCGTTTGAAAGACAGAACCGATTTATTATTTAAAGGTTATAACTGTGTTAGTCTCGGAGCTCACAAATTTTGCATAATATATAGAATTTGCTGATTATTTTTTTAAATACATGCTACTTGAAGGTTTTAATAATGTTTAGTTTTTAATACAAGGAAATGAGCCAACATGTACATATGAGTTCTTAGGTTTTCGCGATAGTTACACATAGGAAATGAAACTGTTTTTCCGGATTTAAATCGCGTACATTTGTTTTTTCAGATTATGTAGCGGACATTATTCAAGTTGATAAATTTTGGTACCTATCTAATAAATTATAATGAAATTAAATAAATTATAAATAATTATAGCAAAATTTTTATTGTTTATTATAATGAATCATTGGATTCTTCTCCATATGAACGGGAATCATCACTTGAATCCTCATTAACATTAATTATTAATTATTGAGTACACAAATTGTCAAACGCAACATCACGAACCTGATCAGGCAAAGTTTATTTTTTGAACTCGCTCACATTCACGGTTTAAGCTTCTTCACAAATAAAATCGATTGTTATAAAAAAATCTAATCGGAAACGCCTAATGCGTTCATCACTAACTGATTAGAATTCAAGCTGTCAAAAGTTAAATAAATGGTTGGACGGAGTATAGACATACATTTTTCATTATGTGTACGATTTTTCTACGTAAATGTACCTATCTGTAAAATAATTGAATATCCAATATCTTCTAAACAAAGGGGCGACTAATTCTAAAATTTCGCGACTAGAACCGACTAATTCACGACTTTTCTGGATGCAATCAGATCTAAGCTAGGAGCTGTGGTTCTCGAGATTCAAAAATGGTGCCATCGGTATAAGCTTATTTCAGTGTGGACAGTAAAACACCTTTTGCGCTGATAACCTTAATTTACCATGAGCTTTTCGGTGAAGGAAAACATCGTGATGAAACCTGCACGTCGAAAAAGGTTCACAAACCTCGGAAAACGTGTGAAGTCCCCAAACCGCATTAGGCCAGCGTGGCAGACTATACCTACTCTCGCCTGTGAGGAGACCCGTTCCCGGCAGTGGTATGTATAAATGTGTTGAAGATGATGCATCTTTGTAGACACGTAAAGACTTCAAACCCAAACGGCACTACATGGGAAATTAAAGACTAAAGGATAGAGGAGTTCTGTGGCACATGACTTTAAGAAGACTTGACAACGAAAGTACACACATTAGAAGTGTTTATCTAGGGGATCAAGTACGTTGTGCCAATTACAGTTTTTTAATGCGTACCTGACACCTTTGATGTGTTTATTTTTTCAGATGCAAATGGCGTATATTTTTTTCAGAGTCAGCCATGACTATGGGACCTTTAAAGAGCATCATTACTTCGTTTCAAAGAACAAATACATGCGATTTTGATCCGAAAAAAAAAAATGTTTTTTCTCAAACATGTTCGGAAATGTTTGCATTACTTTCAAAAAACGAACATGGAAAGTTTGTCATATGCAAAGTGAATATGAAAATACATTATTGTCCTCTTTTGTAAACTTTTTTAGCTACTTATTAACTATGAACTATGTAAACAGGAAAAAGAAAAACTCATGCAGCCAATTACTGCCCAGTGTACTTAACTGCGAGAATTAAAAATACCTACCAGTACCGCTTACGTAAAGACTAAGTGTTTTGATATTCTTATTGAATGGGTATTCTTTTGTTTTTTCGTCTTTTGGTCGCGAAAATAGTGCTAGTGAGAAGAGCAATAACGAAAATACAGTAATGAGATGTACATTTATACACATCACCAGAAGTTCGGACTATAACTATTACAGCCTGGGAAAACAATAACATTTTCTTTTAGCAGTTGTTTTGTATACATAAATATAAAGTTAATTAATATTTTGTTTACTTTTTCTATTATACATCTTCCTCTCTTTAGTCTTTTATTATTTCCTCGCGTTGTTAGAGAAAAATTCTATACCTACATGTCTCGGCGGGAACGGAGATCGCTTGACTCGTATTAATACAAGGCCTCGCTGGCGCTCGTCCTTGTAACTCATACTCGTCCAGCAATCCGTTACTTCCCGGCCTCTGCAATATTAAGTGCTATATTTCCAATGTGTAACAGTCGCGAAAACTTAAGAACTCGATATTATACAGGGTTATTTGTAAAATACTAACAACCTTGCAGGACTGTATTACTAATATAATAAACAATAACTTTTGTTCCATGACTTCATCATGACTTATAATAATTAATCAAATTTACTTTCCTACAAAAATAATAGATCGCTCTAAATCTAAAAGGTGATAATTCTGTGCGGGGTGGGGATCGTCGGGTAGGACGCCTGCACGTTTGAACTTGCTAGGTACCTTGCTATCAAATATAGATCTAAATTGTCAGATAGACCAACACTTAAAAGTCTGCAGTATGTGAACATGTCATGGATGAACCTACATATTTAATCAAGTTTGTCAAGTCAGGATTCTGCGAGAGGTCATTGAAATTGAAAAAAAAACATACTAATTTCAACAGGTAAGATGGTTTCTCCGTACCATCAGTTTGATATCCAGTATTTCCTCTGATGAATAATCCCAAATAGACATAAGACCGTAGTAGTGAATAATATGTTTTAATTTGTTCTAATATTCGTTATTTATTAATAATAAATTTAACTTAATAAAAATTCATATTGTTAGAATAAAATAATTTGTAAAACAAATGTAGCGTAAATTGGAATCTTCTTTGTAAAATTAAAAATAAGATATTTAATTTATTAGTAAGTAAATGATTTAATTAATAACTTTTGTAACTACACTGAAAAAATTGGTTTGCATTATAATATTTGACTTATCTGGTTCATGACTTTACCACCTCAGTCAATCGTGACCATGGGACCTGTAAAGGGCCCGAAACGTTGGTTTGTTTGAAAAACAAATATACGAGATTTAAGTCCGGAAAAATAGTTTCATTTCCTATGTGTAACAATCGCGAAAGCGAACTCAATAAAACTTTAGGTAAGTTTGCTATGTTATGCAAAAGTCGTGGAACAAAAGTTGTTTTTTATGATATTCGTAATATAGTCCTGTGAGGTTAGCATTTTACAAATTACCCTGTATATAGCAAAAGATTTTAACAGTAAGTACCGAGCACAATATTCGGTGAAGCGTAAACATTCATTCATATTCTTAATAAAGTCTCAATATATTTTAAGTTTCAAAAATTGTAGTCCCAAAAATGTTTTCTTTCTCCACTTTTCATTTATGTAAATGATTTTCAAAGACACGGAAAAATATTTGAACGCGTTTAATTCGAGGAAATTGATTAAATTAGTAGAGTCCCTGTCCATCGTTTTTCAATTCGGGGTCGAGAAAGAAAACACGGAATCAAAATAAGCTTGAGAGGTGCTCGGTCCTCAGACACAGGGACGTTCTTGAAATTATCGACACTATATTAAGGGCCACAAAATTGTATCATTTGTTGATTATTCTTCTCCACACGGGTGAATCAGTGGTCAGACGTTTCTTATAATTTTAAATGAGTTTTGATTACAAATATTTCTGATGTTTAATTTTCTACAAGCAAATAGAAGCGCGCGCTAAGAATGCTGCATTTTTCTCTAAGAGAAACAGAATTTATGG